CCTTTTAGCCTCATTTTACAAATGGTAGAACCAAACTCAGAGTTGAGACAGTTTCCTCGGGCATCTTAGCTACTTAGTGGTAGACTTGAAGTTCTGTGTCCCTGATTATAAAACCAGTGTCCCTCTACACCATCAGACTGCACCTAATCTTTCTTCTCAGAGATCCTGTGACCTGGGTAGGGGGGTGGGGGTAAGAGATCTATAACATAAGATGGTTAAAGGGCTGTCCTTCCTGAGCCTGTATAGGTGTGGCTTTGTAGATGTTTCTTGGTCTCGAGGAGAGGCGGATATGTGGGGCTGAGCAGCCTTCATGGAAGATATGAAGTCAGTTGAGAGCAGAAGGTGAAGGGTAGAAAGAGCAGGTAGAGACCGTGGTGCCCATGGGAATGATGGAGGGTGAGCTGAGAGATAACTCAGTTGGTAAAACCCTGCAAGCACAAGAACGTGAGTAAGATCCCCCAGAGCCCAAAAGAATCTTACCATCAGGGAGAGGGGTGCACAGGAAAGGCAACTGAACCCCAGAGGCTCACTAGGGAGGCTCACAGGCCAACCGGCCTAGCATATCTGATCAGTCCCATGCCAGCAAGAAACCTCATCTCAAGAAATGAAAAGTGGCTAGCTCAGGAAGAATGACACCTGAAGTTGCCCTCTGACCTGCACACATGTACTGGCATGTACATTAACAGACGCACGGTCTGAAGATGGAGAATAATCCTGCCCTATCTGAAACAGAAAGGAAAGTTCAGAGTGATGGTTTGGCTGTCAGACGAAACCAAACTCAGGGGAGGTGTTTGCCTTTTGCCTGGTGTTCTAATGAAAACATTACTGGAGGCAATTACCAGGTGCACCTGTGGCATCATCAAGAAAGATGAGACCAGGGGCAGGGAGGTGCTGTTCTGTTCTGCCCATCAGTGTCTGGCTCCCTGGCCCACTGAGCTGTGGGGCTGGTTGGGGGGAAACTGTGGTGTCCACACCATGATAGGTGCGTAGTCTGCATCCGCATAGGCTGCCTTTTCCAGCTGTCGATTAATCCAAACAGCGAAAAGCAAACACATTCACCTTCCCCCCCACGGTCTTCTCTTTTCTTGGCTTATTTACCTAGTATTGGGATTCAAGGGGACATTTACATGAACTTTTGAAAACAAATATTCCGGGTCTGTCTTTTGTCCTGCTCAATCCTCACCTTGGCTCAGAAGTCTGCTGCCAAAATAAAATAAAATATTTTTTAAAATCCATGTTTGAACTACAAGAACCAACTGGTTAATACTTAAGCAAATGTCACCTTTGACAGCGCAACTGTGGGGGAGGCTCGTGTACTGCAGGTGTTGATCATGAGTGTCCCATCTTCACAGGTGTGACTGTGCGGGGCTGGCCTGCTGACCCGGCTCTTCACAGTGTGACACAAAGCAAGTTCAAAACAAGTATCAGGGCGTCGGGATGGCTTTCCTTGGGACAAGCCTGGATATAAGGACCTTCTGAGCAAGGGCGCCTCGCTTTTCCCTGCTGCCTCCCAACTAACTCCATACCTCTCCACCATCCTGTGTGTTTCCCTCCCACACTACCCTGCAACTCCAGGGTAAAATGGCTGTCATTCCCTAGAAAAGCTGGCCTCCATATTCTCTGTTTCTTCTCACCCATGCAGCGAGCATGCAGTTAGCATGCAGTGAGCATGAAGAGCAGTTACCTGCTCTTGGCCACGGCGAGGGTGTTGGCAGCACAAGCCATCAACTCATTGGTTTCCGTGTTTCACTAGAAAAAGCATGGGCCATTAACCCAGATGAACAATCTTCAGGAAACATGCCCTGCTCCAAAGCCGCAGTGTTACTGTCCCTTCCCAGTCTGAAAGGGACTTTTGTTTTCTTACATCTTTTTAAATTGCCACGTGCAGGACTTGTAAATATCCAAAGTGTTGGGTATTCATCTGGTAAACTGACCAAAGGAAATGGACAGTTTTTTCCCCATTCTTGTAACCCTTGGCACCTTGTGCCTGCCCCTGAAAGGGACTCTGGGAGCAAACATCTGCCTGGCCGAGTGCCTGCAGTGCCGGGGCAGGAGCTGAGTGAAATGCAGAGGAAACGACCCGAAGCAGGAGCCTCACAGGTGTTCTGAGCCGGGTCTGGGCCCCGAATCCCGAATGCTCATTGTTTGGAAGTTGGCAGGCTCCCAGGAGTTCCCCTGTCAGTTCTGTTCTGAAATGTCAAACATTTCCTTAGCTGGGGATGGATGGTGAGACCCCTGAGGCCTGAGCACTGTTAGGAGGGGAAAAAAACCAAACCAATTTCTGTCTTTGACACTTGATTCAGTACGTTCAGATTGTTCCAGAGGCCATCCTGCAAACCTAGACCCACTTTCCGTGTCAGAAAGCGGGGGACTCTGGTCTGTCTCTGTCATGCTCGCTGGTTATGTGGCAGTGCCTCATCTTCCAGTGACTCTTACTACAAGTTTATAGACAAGCTGTACCAGGGACCCACTGCTGGTCACAGGGACGGGTGAAGGTGCAGACCGAAACAGGCTGGCTGAGAACTGGTCCTTATTAAAGCCCGGGGTTCACGAAAGTCAGTGTTCCTGACGGGGTGTGTGTGTGTGTGTGTGTGTGTGTGTGTGTGTGTGTGTGTGTTTAAAATTTTATACCATAAAAAGTAGAGCGAGGGTTCCAAGAGAAGATGAAGAAAAGAAATCATATCCTAGTTCTTCAGCCCCAAGAGTACGGGCCTCTCTGCCTGGTGTACCCTGAGTTCTGCTGGGTGTTAGGACCTCTGGTGTGTGAGCTGTCATGAGAAGGGGTTGAGAGCGTAAGCTGAGAGCAGACCTATCTGGAGGTCCACGCAGCCTCCCAGAACCTCTGCTCCCTTGGATATAGAACAGAGAGGCGAATGACTAATTATGGAGCCATGAGCCAGGTAATACACCATGTTACGGAGCCCCAAACCTGGTGTTTAGCAGCACTGAGCTCTGGTGCCTTTGAGGGATACACTTCCGGGACATCTCCAGAAAGGGGCTGGAGTTGTGATCTCACTTTGAGACACGTTGTGGTGATAAGGTCCCTAAGTCAAGTCTCCTTGGCCCAAAGGATCCCAAAGCTGTAGCTGGCCTGTGCCTATCACTGTTTATTCTCACCTAGAAATGGCTTCCTTGATCCACCCAGTGCTGTGTTTACTTAAGCCTATTGAAATGACCGCTCAAAGGGCCTGTGTTTGCCTGAAATGGTTTAAAATATAAAAGTCTTATTTATCTTTGCTGGTGAAGTTCCCTTTTCACCTTTGGACAAGCGCCGACTTTATCACATGCGATCAACTTACTATCTAAGGAGTTCAAAAGGAAGCATGCTTCCTTCTTGTTCTAGTGTTCATACATTTGTGTATGTGCCTGAATGTGTGTGTGTGTGTGTGTGTGTGTGTGTGTGTGTGTGTGTGTGTGTGTTCTCCATCATGATGCTACTGAGGTATCTAACCCAGTTTTTGTGAAGACATGTCAGCATCTTTAAAGACAACACTATATTGATAATAGTTCTTATAGGCCCCACCCCTTCCACTGAAACTGTCTGTCCCCTTCAAACCTCTAGAACATCCATGGGTGTTTCTGCCTTGAAAATCAGTTCTCTTTCTGTATCCCTTCCTACCCATTGGTTAGTCCACCATTTCCATCATTACCATGGCAGATCTACCACTGCCAATCGCAACCTCTGGAGTCTCGCCACTGGGAGCCTGCCTGAGCTTGAGTGGCCATGCCCCTCTCTGGCTTGTCTACATATTTCCCCCAAACCAGCCCCTCTTCCCAGGTGAACTCCAGGCCTTGGAGTCCTAAGACTGTGCCCCACCATGGGCCTTGCCAGCCCGGCCACCGGCATCGTGCCCACTGTCTTTTCCTTCTCCTGATACTGCCTGGTGTAGCCCCTCCCCAGCCAGGAGCAGAATCTCAGTCACAAGCTGCACCCGAAGCAGATGAAGGCAGCAGTGGGACTCTGCCCACAGGGAGCACCCAGGCTACCGGAAGTGTTTCCCCAGATGGAAATGAATGAAAAGATAATGATCTCCTGAGCCCTCCAAATTGACAGTGTTAACACATGTACACATGCCTTCTTACTGCAAACATGTCGACGTGGGAGCTACACAGTGTACTAGAGCCCGCCTTGAAATGCTATGCATAGTCAAGTTCAAAAGGAAGAGAGAAAGGAACTCCCTAGCTTTGAAAGACATGAAGACTGACGGCCAGAATCCAATACCACAACAGGGGTTGGCAAACTTCCACAAGGGGACAAGTAAATAATGTAGGCTTTAGAGGCCACAGACAGCATGTCATAACTCCTTTCACTTTTTTGGTGACTATTTAAAAATGTCCAAGTGGCCTGGGGGTGCAGCTCATAGTTGGCAGAATGCTTGCCTACTATGTACAAGAAGATCATGGATTACAATCTCCAGGACCACACAGACCAGATGTGGTGACACACATCTGTAATGCTAATACTTGGAAGGTGGCAACAAAAAGATCAGAAGTTTGAAGTTATTCTTGGCTACAAAGTGAGTTCACAATCAGCCTGGGACATATGAGATCCTGCTTTAAAAAATAAACTATCGTAGCCATTCATAAGTTGCACAGAAATAGACCACAGCCAAAAGTGACCTATTAACATGAGGCATTGTGCTTTATTGGTGCCTCAGCAGTGTTAAACTGTGTGACAAAGATGACCTTCATCTACAGCCACCATGCTTGTGACCTAAGAGGGATTCTAAAGCTGGAGCTAGGAGCTTCGTGTGCACAGGAGAGTCAAATGCTGAGGCCTGGTCCCGGCTCTCCCAGGATTCTGTCTTGCAACCAGAACCACTGATAGGACTCTCAAGAGGGCAGTGGCTGTTTATAGGCCCCCTGGAGCCCTGCCTGCTGTGCCCAGTGACCTAGAAAGCCAGAGTTATGCCCACTGCTCTCTCCCGGTACTTCAAGAGTGTGATGCTATTTTCTGGTGTGGCTCATTAAAAGAGGCCTGTTCTGCTTCTCTTTTGCAGGGATGATAATGGTGATTTTATTGCTGCTCGTGGCTATTGTGGTCGTTGCAGTGTGGCCAACCAACTGATAGCAATAACGGGACCACCCACTGTGACACCTGCCCATGATGAATGAAAACCCAGCACCCTTTTGGTATACAACACCTGCTCTCAATAAATTTTCCACCGCTCCAGGCTCTTGGTGTCCGTCTCTTCAGTAGAGGAGCAGAGATGAACAGCTCTGGAGACCTTCCTAGAGCCACTGGCCCAGTTGTCTCCCTTCTCTTCGTTCAGTGACTTGTTGCTAGCCAGAAGTCCCTCAGGTGGTCACCGCCCACAGCTGCCAGTGGATGCCAGTCACCCTCTGTGTGCTGGGCATCCTGAGGGACATCATGTTATATGTAGTGTATAACTTTGGAGGCTGGTTGCATAGGGGAAGTCATGAGCCCATGTGGAAATAAGTGGGTGACCATGTGCCTGGGTGTCCAGATAGCAGAGCAGAAGTGAGACAAGAAGCATGCAGAAGGTATAACCACGTGGACATATGTCAAGTACATAACAGCCACTCTGTCCGCCTGCCATGTTTAATTGCCCACAAAGCTCAGACTCCTGGCAGTGCTCTCTGTGCTCTGAAGAGTTTCTGGACCTTCTTCATATCTGGACGTGCACCCTTTTCCATTTTGCAACAATGATGAACTCATTCTTCAATGTCGATACCTTCCTATAACAAAATCTGGGTGTGGTGGCGCACACCTTTAATCCCAGCACTCAAGAGTCGGAGGCAGGTGGCTCCCTGAGTTTGAGGCCAATCCAGACTTCAGAGAGAAAGAGACAGACAGGCAGGCAGACAGACAGACAGACAGACAGACAGACAAAGACTGTCTCAAAAAATAACAATAAAAGCCAAATTTGACACATTTCTAAGTAGCCAAAATCCCTTCCAAACTGGACTAGGGAACAGTCAGATGGAAGTGTGGTTAAAAGCAGGAGGGGGCTGCCTTTATCAGTTTCTCCACTGGCTGTGACAGCCATGCAAGTCCAGAATGAGGGCATGTATACATGTATGTCAGAGAGTGAGCCAAAAGTAGAACTGACTACAAAATATACCAGGCCCACAGGTGGTTGAGTTCTGATCAGAAGGGTGCAGAGGCCCAGGCAGCATGCTGTCTCTCCTCTCTGTACGGAAAGCAAGATGGGCAGCTAGCCTTCATTTACCACGGTAAAAGGAGGAAGGGTTAAGACTAATGCCATAACACTTGCCACAGCATTGGCTTCAGTGAGGAGGGGCTGGGCTATGGTAGGGGACTCTGGGTGGAGGAGTCCTGTGACTTTCATTGGCAAAGTCTTCTCTAAACTTAGTTGGACACCAGGAAGAAAGCCTCAGTGTCACCTAGAGCAGGCCCTTTCCTGGGACCCTGAGACCAAGGAGGCCAGATGTTCTGGTAGGCCGGGGGTCCAGAAGTCTGGACATCCGCTTGACTCCGACTCACTCCAGAATGCAGGCAGGTTGGACACCTGTGACAGAGAAAAGGTCTCTGGGAGCTTGCAAGCCAGCAGTGAAATGGTCACCTCAAGACCGCATTGCCTGAGCTCCCAACTCTGACTGACCTTCTTACTGGGCCCTGTTGCACCACCAGAGATCAGGAAGTTATGGAAAACAGAGTAAGAAACATACTGCAAACAGCCCAAGGATTGCCACACTATTTACCAGCTCTCTGGCCATGGGGAGTTCCCTTTTTGTGCCAGTGACCTCACCTAGAAAAAGGGGGGCAACCATGCCCTGACCCACCATGCCTCACAGGGCCGCTGTGAGGACTGGGTACGCACTCAAGCACAGCAAGCCACTCTAAGTCCCGGTGGCCAACGGCTCAGGGACCCGAGTACTGCTTTCCACTGTGCACAGATTGGAATAGTAAGCCAGGCAGAGGCGAAGTCATCTGCTGATTGGCCAGTGATGCTTGAGTTCCTGGAGGTGTGAAGGCCCTAGGAGCAGACTCAGCAAGATGGCGGGGTCATGGTATGCCAGGAGGTGGCAAATGGCTGAGAGGGCATGAAGTGTACCGCGATGAACAGACTAGAGAGAAAGAGTGGGCTTGTGTCAGGGGAATGGGATTGGGAAGAAAGGGGCTGCGCTGGACTGCAGGCCCATGCTTCCGGATGCAGTGTGCCCTGGGACACATTTGTCAGGGCAGGCTGGTTGCTAATGGACCATCCAATGGAAGAGTAAGAATCCGTAGAGCTCCATCATCTAGTCTTGTGGGAAACCCCAAATCTGTACAAACAGTGTCTCCTTGGAGCCCCCCACTTTGGGGCTCCGAAGAGGCAGCATTGACAGTCTGTTTGACTTTCTCACCTCCTCTTGACTTGCTCAGCACGAAGCCCCGGCAACTCGTGGGGCACTTTGAACCGGAGCCATGGAGGCCTGGCTCAGCCGCACTGAAAGCCCCTTTTTTCAGGAAGACACTGGCCCAGGCCTGCACACAGTCGCTTCTGTTCTTCTGACTGAATGGGCATTGCTAGCACTGTGACCCCAGACAAGTTGCTTCACTTCTGTGCACCCACGGGCAGGGGACAGTAGAGGGGAAGCTGCCTGGGAGGCTACAGTGTAAGGACTCAATGTCCCAGCCATGGGCGTTGCAGGCAGGGACACCCATCCTCTGTCAGTCTCCCTCAGGGACGGCTTTCTCACTCAATCAGACCAGCAGTAGCCAGGCATACCCAGCTGGGTGGGGTGTGCCAGGGACTCTGCTGCCTCGAAACCCAGGTAAGATAGCTCCTGGAGAGTGGTATTTGCCAGTACGTTTTGCAAGGCCTGGTTTCCCAGCTTAGAAGCGAGCGACCTGCAGCAAGCACTATAGACTAAGTCTTACACCACTCACAGAACAAAGAGTAGCAAGGCAGCCGGAGCACCCTCTCCTGGGGTGGGGGGCTCTGTCAATGCAAATAAACCTTATTAAAATAACAGCATATGAATTGTTTAACTTAACTGATTATTAATTATATGCATTTTAAGTCTGGAGACTATATAAAGAAATCCAGATACCTGGGCATAACCAGTACTTTTGTTGCATTTAAACTTTATGATTATTAATAACTATGCTGAACCTTAGCTGTCATTAGCCCCAAGATAACTGCCTCACCAGATCTGCAATTTCTGGGCCTAGACACAGCATCTACCAGGCTTTCCCAGAACTAACATGGAAACCCTGTATCTTTTTAGTCTGCTGCCTGCTGCCAGCAAGCCTGCTAGGGTTATGCACCTTCTCCTTGAGTGTAGATCCCTGGGGCTTTCCTACCACGGGGCTTTTGCAGAATTCCCAGCTGGTCTTCAGCTTCAGGAGCGCTGTCTCCCACTTGTCAGAAGTGCCTGCAGCCAGCCAAATAGCTGTTTGCCCTGTTCCCTCAGGTGGTTATATTAGCAGCTTTTGTGTGGACCGTGCTGAAGTTAAGCAGATATCTCCCCTCCCCCCCATTACTTTAAAGAAAGATAAAACTAAACTCATTCATCCTCTCACTGTACCAGAGGGCTTCTCGGGCTTCTTCCCAGCTATGTGCCTCCTTCCAGAATGCCTTGCTGTCCTGCCAAGCCTCCAAGTTGATAAAGCAGAGTTAAGCCATCCGCGGTTGGTATTTCTTCCTGGCTGCCGTTCTTACACTCCCGTTTTTCTTGGCGCAGTTCTTATGTCTTCATTTAGTCTGAGACCACAGGGTGTGTCTACCCTTGGTGGGCATCCCCATTACAAGGCCCTGTCCCTGGGAGATGTAGAGATGGGATGGGTGAGTCTCATCAATGCACGAGCCCTCTCTGGTAGGCCTCTGGCCTTGATACCGAACCAGCCCCCAGGTCCTGATGAAGTCTGCTCAGCTTCCTTAGGGGCTTCCTCCCATCTTCCTCAACTTTTCCCACCACCTTGGGCCAGTGCTTAGCAGAGACCCTGCTTGTATTCTGTTTTCTCAGCACTGGACAGATATCAGCACCTCGTCTCCCCAGCCAAGCAAAGGCCCTAGCAGGTAAGCGAACTGTTCAGTCTGTTTTCATGCCTCTGGTCAACAGTGTGTTCCTGCCAGCAGAGAGCCCAGCTGTGAGGAGGCCAGAACACACTCAGACACAGACAGCTTTGTAGAGAGAGAAAAAAAGCTGTATCATAAAAAGTCCTTGAGAACTGAACTCTTGGCTTAACATGACCAAACTGCCAAGTGGTCACAGAACTCTTAGCCCTAGCCCTGGAAGCCTGACACTGCGGACAAGGCTTGCTCTTCCTCAGCCTGGCCAGCCAACCAGGAATTGTTTTCTGTCCCAGACTACCACCGCCAGGCATTGGCATTCAAAAAGACCCACTTCTGGGATGGCCTGGGACACGGTGTGTGTCCCCGCCTGCCCTGGAACACTACCGCAGAGCTAACTCCGTGGAGGTTAACCCACAGTGCCATCCTGGAGCTGCCTCTCTGCTCGACGGCAGGGGAAGGCTGCCATGCCCTTAAAGCAAAGGCACCCAGAAATCCACATTGCTGCCAGGCCAGCAGGTGAGTCTTGTCTTCAAAATCACCGGGTGTAGAAGGGTCAGGCCCAAGGGTCATGGCAACACATCCTCCCAGGGGCTGGCTTGTTGTTCAGTAAAGAAATCACAACCATTTGGAAGTTTAAACATAGCCTTTCCAAAAACCACTGAGCTCAGCTCCTGGTGGCTGTGTGGCGCTGGCATGGACCCAGAACCCGCTCAGCACTAAGCCCCAGCAACAGGCTGGGGAAAAAAAAATCGTTTTGCATGATCTCTTCAATTTCATCAGCCTCCTGGATCTCCTCATCTCTACTTCATCTTGAACAGAAGAAAGGTAGTATAGAAGTCTAGAAGGGCTTGCAGGCTCTGAATCTAGTGGGGAGGTCAAAGGCTGCCCCATCCCACGCTGCTGGTGAGGGTAGGGCAAGTCAGGAGAAACCCCTCTTTCCCTATCCCCATGTCTGGGAGTTACGGAGAATGGGAACAGTCCGCCTCAGTGGTGACTGAGGAATTGCAATACAGACTGACCCAGTTGGGAGCCTGTTAGCTTAGAACAGCAGCCAGAGCCGGCAAGCCCCCAGGACTTACTAAGCAAGGCTATCCTTTTCCTGCCTTTTTTGGGTAGTTAGGGCTCTTTGTTTAAAACACACACATGATTTTGTCTTGCTGGGGTGTTCTAGGGCAAGACACCATACT